CTTGGTGGCACGTTTGCGGCTTCGCATACCTCACCTCGTCTCCTGCCATTGTATTGCACACCGGTGAGTGTCTATAGTTCTCTGCAGTGTTGTCAAACCCTTTGGTTGTATTATATTCTAATCCACTGCTTACTGTAATTGTGCTTGCAGGGAGGCCCTTGCTGCTAAGGATGCAGCAGACAGCTTGCCAGTCTTCAGAATGATCGACGGCACCATCCACGCCATTGCAGAGCACCTGGGCCGTTCGGGTCCATGGCATCAGCGCTTCATGGACCTGCAGGAAGTCTTCTCCCAAACATTCCTGGAGCTGCAAGGGATTCACAACGTGCGGTGGCTATCACGTGGTGATGCCATCGCCAGGTTTGTGGCGGTCCTGCCTGCCGTCATCACGATGCTGAAGGAGTGGAATGAGGAGCTGTATGCTGTGGTGACGTCGTACAAGTTTCACTTTCTCCTCCTCTTCCTGTCTGATGTCCTTGACCAGATGAACGTCCTGAGTAGGACATTCCAGCGACGCGAGGTGCGTTTTTGTGGTCATGCCGAGTAATTGCCATGGTTTAATCTTTATACACAGGCTTGTTATCTTTTTTTTTGTCACGACTCGCACTGTTCAACCTAACTAACACCTCTCTGTCTTCTGTTTTGCTTCCTCCCCAGCTCGATCTAGCAGCTGTTCATGCGCAGATTCGGCGTACAACGGGACATCTCGAGGCTCGCTACGTTGACTGTGGGGACGAGTTCGGCGCCGGTCTCAGTCCAAGGCTCTCACCATGGCTAGAGAAGCATGGTCCTGAAGGCACACGGGAGGTCATCATCGAGGACGTTGACTCGTACGGGCAGCCGAGCACATTCACATTCATCCTGCATGAAGACAAGCTTCCGGACTACCCTGGACCAGGGCACCACGACGCATGCCTGGACATCTGCACCGAGTTTGCAGAGCTTATCGTGGCCAACCTCGAGGATCGTCTGGGCGACCTTGACAAGCTGACGGGCGTCAAATTGTTCACCCCCGACTCTTGGCCACTTGGCAGGCACGAGCGCCAGGCAAAGTGTCAAGAGTACCTTGAGTCGCTGATCACTCTCTTCGGCGCGGAGGAGTGCGAGGAAATCGTACTGGGTGAGCCGATTCTCTTTGTGTTGCTTGATGCATTGCTAAATCTAGAGATTGGTGCCATATTTTATAACATCACTCCAGTGTTATTAACTATTCTTCTTTTTGTGACGGCAGGGGTCGACAAAAAGAGAGCATTCAAGAAAGTGCGGCTGTTAATCCCCGTACTTGCACGTGCACCGAAGACCGAGCGCGTGTTCCACACGGGCCTCACCGCCATGCTCAAGACCAAGGACTGGTAGGAGCACTACCCGAACCTGGTGCGGCTGTGGGCGGCGGTGTCGCTTCTGCCGTTGAGCACCGTGGAATGCGAGCGCAGGTTCTCGCGGCAGAATGTCATCAAGTCCTGGCAGCGAGGCAGCCTCAAAGATGCTCGGCTCAGCGACTTGATGTGCATGTCGCTGCTCCGTTACAAGCCGAACTGGGATGAGATTGTGGAGATCTGGCGCAACTACAAGAAGCGGAAGCCGTTCAACACAAGCAACATAGCCAGGCAGGAGGCGGATAGGAGGCGGAGAGGTAAGGATGAGGAGGAGGCTGATGGAGATGAGGCCAACCCGGTAGACCTAGATGTAGAGGCTGAGGGAGATGGTGGTGATTATGACGAGGATGAGATGTGGTATGGTAGGTAGGAGGCATCTATAATCTAGTTAGTAATGCCTTTGCTGTACTTGGTTCATTCATAATATGTAATTTTGTAACATCCCTTCCCTCCCTTGTCATGTCACAGTATAACATATCTAACGGTAAAGGAGGAGTTATTAAAAAAAAGCCTAAAAATTTGTACCTACCCTGATGGGAAAGTTTTTTTTTGTTACCCTACACTGATTTTTCAGGGTTTTTCTTCATAAGGAGGCTGACAGAAAGTTTTTTTTTTTTAGCAACACTGACCAGAAAGTGTTGTCTAAAACGAATCTGAGGGCCTGATCTAGAAACTTGTTACGAGTGCAATTGAGTGAGCGAGTGAGAATTCCACTATCGAAGCAAGAGTACAATGAGCGAAGGCATGAGCGAAGAATATATAGCGAAACTACAGTGGTAACGGTAATGGACTGTGGTTGTCGCGTGACGGGCCTGGGACTGAGGTTGGGAAAAGTGTCGAAGTGGAGGTCCGGAGCGCGGGTTACCCGCCGAGCCGTGAGGTCGGGGTGCGACGTGCGAAGGTGGCGGGAGGGTTTGTCGATGCGAGAGTTGCGAGTGGTAACGGTGCTGACTGTGGTGCTACAGTGGTGTACGCGCTGAGCGGGGACGCGAAGTAAGGAAAATGAATTTTCCTGACACTACCCCTCCCCCTAAGGAGGTCCTCCTTTGGGAAAGTGCGTGTACATCCCTGAAGTTTCGGCTGCGCAGATACTCAGCGAGGACGGGGTGGTTTTCGATTCTGTCCAGGGGAAGCCAGTTGTCTTCGGTGGATGTACGGTCTTTCCAGCGGATCAAGAACTCGATCCTTCGGGCTCCACGAGGGTCGCGAACTCTGCGGCTCAGAATCTTCTCGGGCGTGATGGTCGGTTCAATCGGTGGTCGTGTCATGCTGGCTGGGCGATTTCGTGGGAGTTGGCTTGTGGACGGGATGTAGGGGCGAAACAGGCTGACGTGGAATGAGGGACTGACGTGCCAGTCAGCGGGGAGGAGGAGGTGGGCGATGATGGGTGTGATCATGTGGCTGATGCGAAATGGTCCACAGTATCGAGGGCGGAGTTTTGGGGTGATGGGCAGGCGGAGGTTCTGGGTGTCGAGTAAAACTAGGTCGTCAAGCTGGTAAGTGACAGGTCTGCGGTGGCGGTCGGCGTTGCGTTTAGCGACGATGTTCGATTTTTTTATTGCGTCTGCTGCCCGGGTCCGTGCTGCTTGTAATATTTCCGCGAACTGTTGTGCTCGTGGCATTGGGTTGTCGGAATTCGAGGTCATGGGTACTGTTGGGTCTTGTCCGTAGTTCAAGTAAAACGGTGACTGTTGGGTCGTGGCGGAGGGTGAATTGTTGTACGCGAACTCGATGAGTGGCAGTTGCTGTTCCCAGGTGGTCGGGTCGTCGCATGTGGCTCGGATGAGTTGTTCCATGGTCTGATTTGTCCGTTCTGTCTGTCCGTCGGTTTCGGGGTGGTACGAGGAGCTGAACTGTAGTCTCGTGCCAAACTGCTGTCACAGGTTCCGCCAGAAGTTGCTGGTGAATTTCGTGTCACGGTCGCTGATTATCGCTGCTGATATCCCGTGCAGTCGAACGATGGTGGAGATGAAAAGGCGTGCTGTTTCTTCGGCTGTGATTGATTTTTTGCAGGCTGCGAAATGTGCCATTTTCGTCAGTCGATCGACGACGACCAGGATTGCATCGTTCCCACTCGCCCCGGCCGGTAACCCTGTGACGAAGTCCATCGTCACCTGCTGCCAAGCGCGCTCTGGGGGTGGTATCGGCTGCAACTGTCCTGCCGGCCGCTGCCTTGATGATTTCATGAGCTGGCAGGTGGGACACGATGCCACGTGTCGCTGTACGTCGGTCAACATCTCGAGCAAGTAATAATACCGCTGTAGCTGCTGCCGTATTTTTTCTACCCGGAAATGTCCCGAGGTAACTCCGTCGTGTGTCTCCTGTGACAGTAATTCCCGTAGCAGTGTATACCCAGGCACCCAAATGCGGTCGGTCCCGGCTTTTACGTAATAGACTCCCCTTGCTGCTGCGAACTGCTGCGAATTTCCTCCTGTGAAGAATGGATCTGTTTGGTTCAAGTGGGTAAATAGGCCTGTCAGTAGGGGACTGGTCTGGGCAAGTAGTATTGCGTGGATCTGGGCAGTGGGGCAGGTCAGTGCGTCGGCGATGTTCGAGGCTCCCTTTTTGTAGGTGACCGTGTAGTGGAAGTTTGACTCGAGAAAATCGAGCCAGCGAATCTGTCGTGGGTTAAGGTGGGGCTGTGCGCGGAGGTACTGTAGTGATTTATGGTCTGTCCGTACTGTTACTTCTGCTCCGGTCAAGTAACAGCGCCACACTTTGAACGCGTGCACGGGGTGGTATGGCATGGTATGAAGGGATATGGAGGGGCATGGAAGAGAATCTGGAGAGGGAGACTGTTGGTTGAGCGATATGACTTAGCATGCCATCATGTCGCTTTGAAAAGGGTATGGAGGGGTTTGGAGAGGTATGGAGGGGCATGGAGGGGTATGGAGGGGCATGGAAGGATGTGGAGGGTTGTGGAGATATATTGAGAATTATGGAGGAGTTGGAGGGATTTGGAGGGTTTTAAATGGGTTTGGAGGGGTTTGGAGAGATTTGGAAGGGTAAGTGTTCCCGTAGCAGCACATCAGATCACATCTCATCTCATCCCATCCCATCCCATCCCAACCCACCCCGCCCCACTCTACCCCACCCCAACCCATCCCATCCCACCCCACCCCACCCCACCCCATCGCATCCCATCTCACCTTATTTGCCTCCTCCAGCTTGGCTTGAGCAGGTGGAAGGAATGGCCCAACCGGGTTATTCACCAGGTCTAGTACCAGTCCCGAGCTTTCCTTGCCGTACCTGGAACATATGTTTGCAAAGGAAGGATTAGGTGAAGGACCAAGGTTCAAGGAAATAGCATTTACATAGAATAATAGAATAGAGACAGAATTTAGACATAATCTCGACATAATCTAGACAGAATCAAGACTGAATATAGACGGAATCTAGATGATATGAAATTATAGATTTTGGACTTAAGAGTGTATTTTTGCACACAAGACCGATGTCACTGCACATCCCATTTGCACTTGGTTCCACCCAACAGCATTGCATCCCATCGCATTCCACACACATCGCTATTGCTGCCCACCACATCTAACCGCACTGCATCCGGTTGTAGCGCACTCACTCTAGCTTCAGATAATCAGCTAAGAAAACTTTCAGCACACAACCTTACACTGCACCACCGCACTCCATCCCAGAGGTCTCGTGCTCAATCTCATTGTACCGCACTGCCACTGCACCTACACGAGGCTGTTTTGTGACTGCAATTGGACTGATGCTAAGCCCATGGAGCCTAATAGCCAGCACACACACACAACCTTAATCCACACAGACGCACCACACTGCACCACACTGCACCCCATTGCACCGCACAGCACCGCACCGCACTGCATTCTACTGCACATGCACCTGGCTGTTGAGCAGCTGAAACACCCTGATGCTGAGATCAAACACTCATCCTCCCCTTTCATAACCACAGCCAGACATCGGGAGTGGGTGGGGGAAAGGAGTGGGTGGAGGAATGGAAAGGAGTAGGTGGGGGAAAGGTGTAGGTGGGGGAAAGGAGTGGGTGGGGGAAAGGAGTGGGTGGGGGAAAGGAGTGGGTGGGGGAAAGGAGTGGGTGGGGGAAAGGAGTGGGTGGGGGAAACGAGGGGGTTGGGGAAATTAGTGGGTGGGGGAAAGGAGTAGGTGGGGGAAAGGAGTGGGTGGGGGAAAGGAGTGGGAGGGGGAAAGGAGTGGGTAGTGGAAAGGAGTGGGTGGTGGAAAGGAGTGGGTGGGGGAAAGGAGTGGGTGGTGGAAAGGAGTGGGTGGGGAAATTGAGTGGGTGAATGATATATGTTGATGGGGGAGGTAATGATTGAAGGGTGGTGGAGAGGAACAGTATGGGTGAAGTGCCTTGATGCTGCAGTCGACCACCCCCGTTCCTCTCTGGCACCAACTCACACAGCTCAATCATATCCGAAACCCAACAAAATTATATCCGAACAATATAAAAACCAACATTAACAAATAATCATGTAATTTATACGTCCAGGTTAGGCAGATATCTCCCCACCCCCCCTAGTTCAGCTGGCACCACCAGGAGCCCAAAACAGCTCAACCAGACTTGAGCCTCAGAACCAAACAAGTACCACCAACCAGTCTAACCTTCTACTCCTCAACAGATAGGGCGCTCTGAAGTGATTATTTCAGCACACAGCTAGCAGGAATGGTTGCACTGGCCATTCCCAATCTCAGTTTTCCAGCCAGCCCTTATTTGTATCCGAAACAAAAAAAAACATTACTTTTTCTATTTTCACGTCACAAACCCTTCGAGAAATCTTATCCTGTGGTGCCTTACCATAAACCCTGAACACGTGTTCCACCTTGGTGTCACTTCAAGCTTTGTCGAATCTCCTTCGCACTTCACCTTGGGTGGGTGCCGAATCTGCTTATTACGGGTACCACGGTCTCCCGCTCCCCCACAGGCGGCGGCTGTACATTCTGGGGGGAGACCAGGGGCGCCCGCTTCCCCAAAGGCGGCGGCTCATCTTGGTCATTCCGCGCACCCGCGCGCCGTCGCCAGAAGAAAAACTCGGGTGTGGCGGCTCTGCGCGGATCTCTTCCGCCGGAAGAGCGGATTCCTCCCGCGGGGGCTCGAATCCGCGCAGCTGCACCCCGCCGCTGGTGTGCGCGCGGGGCTCCATCGCACGGAACATCTTTTCGCGGGATTCCGGGCAGTAATCGTAACTTTGCTTATAGGCATATTTATCTGCCCAGTACGGAGTAATCCCATCGAACCCATCCCCGTTACACTGCGGGTAACCAGAGTCAGCACATCCGGAATTCCCCGGGCACTGAAGGGAACTAATCCCCAACTCGATATTATACGTGCTGGCCTGGTCGTGGCCGTTTAACTCGTAACCGAAGAGGTCTATATCGCAGCAACGCGCGAGCTTGCGCGGGGTCCCCCCGCAGTCCTCGCAGTAAAGCGCGCCGGCCTGAACGAGCGTGCACTCTCCCGAGCCGTCCGTGGCATAGCCGCCGCCGTAGAGACACGTGCGACGCCACCCGTTGCCGTTACAGTAGCTTAGGACGAGTACGGTCTCGCTTGCCTCGTATTCGCAATCCAGTTTGAAGGCGCGCACCGAAGCTAGAGGGAGGAGAAGGCAGGAGAGGAGGAGAGTCGCGAAGAGAGGAGTTATCCCGGCCGCCATCATTGGCGCTGGTGACGCGTCGTCAGTTGTTTTACTGTCAAAGAAGTAGGGAAAGAACTAACGAGATCTGCTATTCCGAATAGATACTTTTTAGGGTGAGACTCTCCATCGGACGGACGTTGGGACTTCAAATGGATAGTTGTGGAAGTAAACAAGCTTGGAATCTGCTGATACAAGAAGGCTGGGGTGACCTAAATACAGATAGCAGGGCAACCATACTGGACAACTGCAGGGAAGGGGGAGGTATCTGGGGGAAGATACAGCGGGGAAGGGGGTGCATATGGATGGATGCAGTCAATCCAGCCTGTGCTGGGAGAGGGGAGGAGCTGAAGCATGCTGATGCGTTTTCTTGGGGGTGAGTGCGAGTGAGTTGTGCGTCGAGTCGCCATGTTCGCCATGCGACGCCACGCACGCATTACGCCAGTTACATCCGAGTCTTGCAGTGCCTTTGCCTTCACAAGCTAGTTTCGTGCGTTTCCTACCGAGTTTATCAGGGCTACGTGCCAGCAGAACTGGCGCTTGACGCGCGCTTCTTACCGAGTCGATGCTGCTCTATTACGGCGTGAATGGCTGACGAAGAAGTCACCCAGGTTCGCGAAGTCACCCTGATGGCAGCATCGCAGCTGACATTGATTGGGAGAAAACAAATCAGATAAAAACCCTTTACAATCGGAATCACTAATTGGCGAGTGTACCGTAAACCTTCATGTATAAAATCACCGCTACAACTTTTTTTCCTATTGGAAGGACCCAGCTATAGGACAAAAACTCTAATTGTACAAGTATGTGCCAGCCACTTTGGAGAATATTTAAAAGAGATTTGAATGGAAAAACACATATATTATATACAAGACAATACCTTTTCAATTTTTTGAAAAAACAATGTTAGTGCTCCTCGGACTCTGAGAGAATTCCTCATATATGCCTAGAGACGATTAGACGGAAACATTTGGAGTCTATTCAAGATAAGGTATGTTTGTCTACCTGGCACTACACCCGGTCCACGGTGCCCATGCAACTCGAACTGCTGCCAGCTGTATACCTATAAATATACATGAAGGAAAAAATTACAAAGACGAGAAAATAAAATAACAAAAAAGCATCCACTAACATAGTAGACTCAAAAGTTGCTGAAGATCAGCAGCTCACTTGCAGCATTGCGGTCAACAAGCTCATTCAGCGATTCACAGCATATTACACACTACAGACACTTTGAGACTTTTCTAATATCGATAAGCAGCTCACTTGCCAGCAAGCCCCTTTTTATGCTTGACAAAATAGCACGCGCTGCAGATGGTTTGATGCACGTGGAATTAGTCACTCACCTGTAGTATTGCGATGCTATGGCTATGGAAAGGAGAGAAGCAGTTACAAGAGACAAAACGTTACCCACTCATCCGTAGCAGTGCGCTGCTGTGGCTGTGGCTCTATCAAGCAGCTCGTCCAGTGGCTGGATGTCAACGACACAGCAAGGTGGGGAGAGGAGCACGCGACAAACACTCACAGGAGCATCGTGAGTCAGTGTATTTTGCATATCACGTCTAATCTCTTTCAGACGAGGACCAAGTCTTTCTGTCAGAGTCAGAGCGAGGTGGAGGAGGGGGAGGAGAGGAGAGAAGCATGCTGCAAACACTAATAGGCTCACGGGCGTACAGTTGGAAGAGACATAACAGTAGCAACTCGCCATAGTAGTGCGGTGCCGTGGCTATGGGGCGATCAAGCAGCGCATCCAGTGAGTGGATGTCAACGACAGAGCGAGGGGGGAGAGGGATGGAGGTGGACGCTCGAGACAGTCACAAACTCACTTTTGAAGAGGTGTAACAGTAACCAACCACTCACCCGTAGCAGCGCCCTGCTGTGGCAGGTGGTTGTTGAGAATGCTTAAAAACCGTCTGCAGCTAATCACGCACCCGTAGCACACTCCAGGCACTCAAATGCTCAATGTTGAAGAGGCGTAACGATAATCACTCACTCGTGGCACATTGATTAGCATCGTCAAGCTGGTAGAGTTGCTTGTGAGCATGCTTACTGTTGAGGAGGCATAACGGTGACCACTCACCCGTAGCAGTGCTATGGATGACCACTTCTATGGCTATGGGGTGATCCACAAGCTCGTCCAGTGATTGGACGGGGGGCGGGGTGCAGGTAAGGAGAGGAGGGAGGAAGGCTCACAACTCACCCATAGTAGTGTGCTGCGGTGGCCATGGAGAGAACAACATGCTCTTCCAGCAATTGGATGTTGAAGAAAGTCGCAGATGGGGGAGGAGGAGAGGAGAGAGGCGAGTCGGGTGAAGTGGATGGTTTGGGGGGGAGCTGAGGGCGAGGCGAGGATTGACATGAGAGTGGAATAGAGCGGCTTGCCTGCAGTGTGTGGGAAACGAAAGGAAATGGGGCAGTCGGCTGAGGGCGAGGCGGTGATTGAAATGAGAGTCAAAGAGAGTGCCTTGCCTGCATTCTCTGGGAAACGAAAGGAAATGGGGCAGTCGGCCGAAGGCAAGGCAGAGATTGAAACGAGAGTCAACGAGGGCGCCTTACCTGAACTGTGTGGGAAACAAGAGGAAATGGAGCAGTTGGCTGAAGGCGAGGCAGTGATTGAAATGAGAGTGGAAGATTGCGCATAGCCTGGAAGGGGATGGGCAGAGAAGGGGAATCAAGAGGAGTGGGGCAGTCGGTTGTAGCAGACGGTTTGTAGGGAAGGTTGAGGGAGAGATGCCTGTTGAACTCACAGCCAAAGAGCGAATGTGCATGTAAGGAGCATGGGTAAGAAGAGAAGAGAAGGCAGAAAGTGGTATGAGCATGGAAGAGTGCTACACACACAAAGACGGTGGAGGCCGCACCTACTACACACACATGGTACAGTTGTCCAACCTCTAGGTGGTTTTGAGAAATATAAAAAATCACCTGCTACACATAAAAGGTACAGTTCTCTAACCACTCGCAGTGTTCGATGAGTCTCAGTTGGCACAAACACGTTCAAGGTACAGCAGTGTAACCCCACAGACACTAGCAACCTCCTCCTAACCCCCCCTCCCCCCCCCTCCCCCCCCCCCCATCCCTCTTCAAGATACACACACAATCAGACTAGGGCACAGCGGTCCAGCCCCTAGCACCGTTTTGAGACCACACACACACACACACACACATACACACACACACTATCACACACACTCGCACACTCACATTCGCACACTCACACACACACTCACACACACACACAGAATCACACAGTCACACACACAATCACATACTGACTCACACACACAAACAATTACACACTCACTTACACACACACACATGCACGTACCAGGCTCAACTATCCAGCCCCTAGCACTGTTTGACATGCCCGGAAAGTCGGACGGCTGTGCCCTAACCCCCTTACCCCCAGCATCTTCTTACCCCCAGCATCTTCTTACCCTCGGCATCCCCTTACCCCCAGCATCCCCTTACCAAACCTGAGGAGTGCCTGAACCAACCTCAGCTAGACCAAACCTAGGGAGTGCCTGAACCAACCTCAGCCAGACCAAACCTGAGGTGTGCCTGAACCAACCTCAGCTAGACCAAACCCGAGGAGTGCCTGAACCAACCTCAGCTAGACCAAACCTGAGGCGTACCTGAAGCGACCCTCAGCCGCACTGGACCTAAGACGTACCTGAATCGAACCTCAGCCACATTGGACCTGAGGCATACATGAACCGAACCTTAGCCACGCCGGACCTGAGGTATACCTGAACCGAACCTCAACTGCACCGGACCTGAGGCATACCTCAACTGACCCTCAGCCGCACTGGACCTGCAGCATACCTGAACCGAACCTCATCCGCACCAGACTTGGAACGTACCTGAACCGAACCTCAGCTGCACTGGACCTGAGGTGTACCTGAGCGGAACCTCAGCCGCACCGGACCTGAGGCGTATCTGAACCAGACCTCAGCCGCACCGGACCTGAGACATATCTGAGCCGACCCTCAGCCGCACCGGGACTGAGGTGCACCTAAACCGAACGTCTGCCTAACCGAACCTGACGAGTACCTGTACCTGAACCAAACCTCAGCTGCACCGGACCCGAGGCGTACCGGAACCAACCCTCGGCCGCACCGGATCTGAGACGTACCTGAACCGAACCTCAGCTGCATCGGACCTGAGGCGTACTTGAACCGAACCTTAGCCGCGCCGGACCTGAGGTATACCTGAACCGAACCTCTGCTGCACCGGACCTGAGGCATACCTGAACTGACCCTCAGCCGCACTGGACCTGCGACATACCTGAACCGAACCTCAGCCGCACCAGACCTGAGACGTACCTGAGAGGACCCTCTGTCAAATGTTGTAGCCTGTAGTGAGGTTTGTCTTAGGGGGTACAGATGTTACGGTTTGTTATATGTACCCCAACCCACATCAATGAACCAACACTTTCATTCTTGACATGGTATCACCTAGGTTAGGATCCTGTGGGATCCCGTTCCTCTCGTTCACGTCCGTAGCGCCCGAGCCTGTCCCGTACC